GCACGCTTAGAGTGAGCTCTGCAGTGGCTCCTGCTCTATTACAAATGCTTGCTGGACGTGGTGGGGACCAGCACAGGTCCTTCTCCATCTGCTCTGGGCAGTCCTTTCCGTACAGCAGTGGGCAACGGACTGGCCCTGTATGGCTTGCCTGAGCGAGGTGGATACCCTGGAGATGTCTTCTCTGCCGCGTTTGGATTACGTGTGAGGAGCAATGCCACCAGGATGCAGTGGGGAGAGATTCGGTGAGGGACCTCCCTGCGTGGGGGATGCCTGCACCCAGGGCACGGCGTGCTGGGAGACGAGGTTGGGGATCTGCCCGGGGAGGGCTTTGTCTCGTGCCCGCCGGGACCGTTTGCTGGCGTTTTTGCTGGGAGCGCAGGGTCAGTGCCGTGGGGTGTGGGAACGGCTGGCCAGGAAGCTCTTGGGCGTGTGTCTTTCCTGCGAGAGCCTCCCCGAACTGAGTCATCCTGCGTGATGCCGCGCTGTCCGCCCCGCACTCCCTCCTCCCATGCCACGGGTGCAGCTGTGGGGTCACCGCCTGGCCCAGCTGTTCCCCTCGGGCAGGGGACCGGACCCTTCTTGGAAGGCCAGCGCTCGGTTTGCTTTTGGGTTTGGCTTCGGTGTCCACCGAAAGCCAAGCTGCAAGATGGGTAAAACTGAGGAAATTTTGCACCTGACAGAGAGAATGAACTGAGTTTGGTTGTAACTCAGAGTGGCTCTGGCGTGAAACCCAGCAATCTCCTGGGGGGACCCCAAACACGCTTTATCTCCAGTGCAAGAAACTTGTATAAAGTGAAGGATCTCCCCAGGTGTCCTCTGGGAACCTCTCTATAGAGTGGAGCGTCTTGATGTGGCAAAAGGTGGTGGCAGGTGGGACGTTTGTAGGCAAGATGGGGTGAAGAGCCCCCACTCTGCCCTGGGATCTCAGTGTCTGAACTGTGAACTCTCTCGAAGAGCCGCCGTCTGTCGCCTTCCCTGGTGGGCAGCGTAAAAACTGCTTCACTGTGAGAACCCAGTGATGATCTGGCCCTTTGCCTTAATTTTCTTTTGGTTTTCTTTTTTTCTTACAGTTGGCATAAATAATAGAGTGAGAGCAGCCTCGGTACTGCAGCAGGGATCTGGGTGCGCATTGCCACGGCAGATAAATGCGTGAAAAACACTCGTGCACAAAGAGGATGCATGTCCAAGTGCCGGTGGTGCCTGGCTGCTCTCTGAAAGACTGCTCTGCACCAAGAGCTGTCCCGGGTCAGTGGCTTTGCGTGTCAGGCGTGTGCTTTGCACCCAAATTAATTCAAATCTAGCAAAGCTCGTGCTGTGTATGAGCAGGCGATGCCTCGGCACCCGGGCATCTGAGCAGTGCGCTGGGATCGGCCAGGCGGTGAGCAGCTCCCTCTGCGACACGGGAGGTGAGCGAAACATGGAAATGCCTGGCCTTTGACCGGGCCGGGGTGGGTCTGGGGCACCCCTGGCAGCTGCCCTGCCCGCAGCTGCAGCCCCCTCCTGCGCTGGGGGGGTGGCTGTGTGCGCTGAGGCTGCCGCAGAGATCCCCGTGCGGCTCGTGAAGTCCAGTGCTCAGATTAGGAAATGTCAGAGATGCAGTTTCCCGGGCAACCTTAATTCGGCCCCACGTGCAAGGGCATTAGGATGCAATTGGTAGTTGCATGATCCCCGCTGTTTGCCCTCTAAGAGCCCTGCCCCGTTCCCGGCACCGGCTGGAGCCTCCAGCTTCTCCAGCTCTGGGGCTCGGGGTACCGTTCTTGCTTGCTTGATTGTGCATACCGAGATTGCAGTGCTCCTGGAGACAGTTAGGAGTTGCCTTCCCAGCTTTTCCATGGCTCTCCACTGTAATATCTGACCATTTAAAAAACTAATGGGTTTACATTCCCAGCACCCTATGGTGGGGGGGCTCGGCTCTTATGAAGAGGCATCCTTGAGATAGTGGAGGATTGAAGCCAGTGTGGCAAAAACCCCACCAAACCTAGGGAGCTTGGAGACTCAAGCCCCTGATCTGAGCCGTTTGCTCTGGGTCTGAGCTAAGCCCAGCGGATCCTGTCTAATTGCTGCTCAGCATTTCTGCACCCCGCTGCAAGCAAAATACCCAGTTTTAGGGCTCTCAGCAGAGACGTGTTGGGATTCCCCACCATACTCTGCTTTCTAGACCTGGAGCTGGAGGCACCTGAGTGGGGACACCCTGCAGGCTTGCTGGGGTTCATGTGTCCCTCCCTCCCCGGGAAGACAGACCCAGGCGCAGAGGAAATACAGAGGGGGCTTTCCTCTGGTTGGGAAGCACGACCGCCATGTGCGGAGGAGTCTCTCAGCTGCCGAGCTGTTGTGCTGGTGCCCTGTCTTGTCTGAAGCTGCTCTCTGTTTACGGGGTGGGAGAGGGAGAGTCCAGGACCGGTGCCAGTAGCGAGCCGGGTCTACATCTGTCTAGCAAAGTGCATCTAGGAAATAGGGTTCATGGCAGGTTTGAATGCGGGCACGTTGAGCTCAAGGCGGGAGGAACGAGCAGGCAATCCCTTTCTGAGCCCAGGGTCAGCAAACCGCGTTTCACAGCCCTGCAGCACACGTGGAGCTGTGAGAGCTCTTTGCAAAAGGTGAGCATTGGGCATGGCGCTGCCCGTCCGCCCGTCTCGCAGGCACTTGTGTGTCAAGCCTGTGCATTTGTGCGTGTCGGGACACCTGCCTGCATGCTTGTGCCTCCCTTGGCACTAGCACGTGTGCCAATGAGCTGCTGCCGGCGCGGGGCTGTGCTCTGCAGATGTCATTGTGGAGGAGCGAAAGCCTCTTCGCAGCTTTCCGAAGCAGCCCACGGGATTTCCTGGCTCTTTGGAGCAGCGGGTGCTGATCTGCCCTCAGGATCTCGCAGGCAGCAGGTGGGAAGCACCCGCCTGGTGCAGGTTGAACCCCTCTTTTCCTTGGAGAAGAAAAGGGTGTTTAGAAAACAGAGGAGCTTCCCGCAGTGAATTTGCAGTCGCTGTCGCTCATCTCCCCGCCCCACGAGCACTAGGTCGGGTCCCAGTGACCAAACAGCTGCAAAAGTCACTGGCGACTTAGATTTCCATAAGGGGTTTCACCCCAGCGGTGGCAAGCAAAGGGCTGGAGCCCCCTGGGCTCAATGTTGCCTCTTGGTGTCCCTGGTGCCCGGCGGGAGCTGAGCAATGCCACATCTCCCTAGGATGATGGAGGCGAGAGCAGATTTCTGTCTCCCACTGCAAAGCCAGGGGCTGGCTGTTCCTGCAGCCCCATCCCGGCTCGCTGGCGCCGGGCCCTGCCTGCAGAGCCAGCAGGAGGTTTTGCTTTTTCCCCTCTCCTCCGGCAGAGGCCGGTACCCCGAGCAGCCATCTGTCCTGCTGCTGCCTTGCCGAGGGGTGAGAGAGTCTGCTTGCTCCCATGTTTGAACCCCCTTTGTGCTCTCCTGGGGTGGCTGTGAGCCCTGTGGTTGGCAGGGTTTGCTCCGGGGATGATGCTCTGCTGCTCGCTCGCGCCCCGGTACGGAGGGGCCGGGCTTGGAGAGCTGCCCCAGCTCCCCGTTGCATCGGCCGCCTGGGAAGCCTGGAGCCAGGACGTTTGTGGAGGAGGTGGTGAGCCGGGGCACGGGGAGCCGCGTTCCTCCCGCAGCTCAGAGGGATGCGAAGGCTTGGGGCTGCGCGGAGGTGTTTACAGCTCCAGTTCCTGTTCCCTTTTCCTGCTGGGTTTTGCTGCTCAAGGCTATTGTCGGGCCGTTTTGCACAGGAAGGAGGAAGAAGTGTTTTGTTTTAAGCTGATTATGGGAGCCGGAGAGGAATGCGTGAACGGTCCTGGTCTCTAAGGCTGGCCAGGAGCAGGGACAGCGTGGCGGTGAGGACAGAGCCTGGCGCCGGGTGGGATTAGGCAGCCGCCGCACTGTGCTCAGGCCGTTTGGTCCTTGCTGTAGGAGCTCTGCATACCTTGTGTTGTGGTGGCAAAATCCATCTCGCCAGATGGTCCAGCCTGGGGTTTGCATCCTGGTGGGCGAGCAGACCCTGGCAAAGGTGCTTGGGTGCACTCGGACCCTGCTGGAAATATTGCCAGGCCCCGTTTTGGAACCAGGCTTTCGGGCTGGAGGTGGGATATACAGCTCCAGGCTTGCCCAGGGCTGCAGCATTGTGTGATGGGGTGCTCCGGCTGGGAAGCTGCTGAGGTGCCGGAGCAGGCATGTGGCTCCGGGGAGGGGTCCGGAGGGGATCAAGCTCTGGGACATGCCCTGTATCCTACTGCAGGATCATCTCCTTTTCGCTAGTGAGGGCAAACCTTGGGCTTTTTGTGCCGTCCCCGTGACATGGCACTTGAGAAGCTCCTGGTCCTGCTTCCCGGTGACTCCTGATTGCATGGAGGAGCCCTGTCTTGTGTTACTTGGGACGTGTGTGGGGATGCTATGGGGGCCTGGGAGGGAGGGGAGAGGAAGATGTAGGCTGTTTGTAGCTGTTTGTAGCCCTTTTGTTAAGAATGTCTTCAGATGAGCCTGCAGGAGCCCTGGAAAATAACCAGCGAGTTCCCAGTTATGCCAGCGCCAGCTGACACCCCTGTAGGATCTGCGCCCCTTTTCCGCCTCAGGCGAGGAAATGTGGCTGCATGCAGGGAGAGCATCTGCGTGCCATGGAAGGGGGATGGCACTGCCGGCAGCCCCACACCACGGTGGGGGCCTTGCCGGGGTGCCTGCGCGGGCGCTGGCAGCGCCAAGCCGATGGTAAGGGAGGAGGCTGGGCCGCCTTCTGCTCTGCTTGGCTCTGTCCCAGCTTTCGGGACAAAGGCTGGAGCATTTCCATGGCCAAGCGCCGGTGCCTGGAAAGCCGCCGGCTGCCAGCACCTGCTCTGCGAGGCTGCCATGATGCAGGCTCGGGGTCCCGGCTGCCGCTCTGGCTGCTGCTAGCAGAGCTTGTGGTGAGGTTTCAAGGCGCTTCAACTGGTCCCTGACCCACCGCAAAAAGGCAGTGAGTACCCTAACCCTTCTCCTACCCTTCTCCTCTTCCAGCTGGCTGTCCTGGAGGACTATGCAGATCCCTTTGATGCGGCGCAGGTGGCTGGTAGCCAGGCAGGGCTGGAGAAGGTGATGGAGAACGATGGATACATGGAGCCGTATGAAGCCCAGAAGATGATGGCTGGTAAGGTGGAAGGCTCCGTGCAAAGGCCACTCTTTGTGCCTCAGGTCCCTGCTGTGTGAATTTGGTGGCCACTGTACTCTGTTCCTTGCAGCCTGTGACAGTACCGGGTCCTCCAGACAAGGCAAACCTGGGCGATTGCTGCGGTGGTGCACAGCCACGTCACAGGCAAATTTTCACAGCTTTACCCGTGTGCGATGGGCTTGCTGTAGTCAGAGCACTCGCAAAGGCTACCTGGAGCAATAAGGGCACCTTGATATTTCTGCCTGCGGTGCTGTCCCCCAGGACCACAGTGCCTGCCTGCCAGGCTGAGCCAGGAGAGACCTGACATTCGATGCGTCTGGCATAAAGCTAAGACATATGTGGGAGCTATTTAATTCGGTTAGGACTGGGCCAGAGCGTGCCGTTGTCTGCTGCAGCAGCGGGGTCCCCAGTGGGCTTGTTTATGGCTGGAAAGCAGGCGAGGTGAGAGCGTGCGCTCCCGAAAGCATCGCTCTTACCGCTGCAGTGCACGCAGGGTTGTCGTGCCAGCTTGCGTGCTCCAGGCTCTGGCTCTGCTTTGCAGTCCCGTGGTTTTCCTGGAGCGAGTGGTTTCTGGAAAGCTCATGTGGCTTTTTGGACTAGACCATTGCATTTCTTGGAAAAATCGGCAAGCGGCGAAGAGGCTGCTTGTGTCTGTGGGAGAGACTTTTGTTTTGCTAGAGGGAAGGGCGTTTTATTAAACTAGCCATGCTGGGTGTCCAGGGAAGAAACCCGGCCTCGCTGCTCGCAGGGAATTGGGCTCTGGGATGCCCCGTCGCCATGGACCCTGCTTTGCAGGGCTGCCCGAGAGTGGGGATGTTGTACCGTGGGGAGAGAAGGCATCTTGGTGCTGTGGACTGCTCAGGACCCAGCTGCCCAGCAGTTCCCCTGCTTCTGGCAGGTGCTTGCTGGAGGTTCAGGGGGTGTCCTCCATCACTGATTCTCCCTACCCCATGTCACCCTTGGGCAAGATTGAGCTCTTTCATCTAGCAGGGCTTCGGGGACCATGGCCAGGCTGTGTTGGGCAAAAAGCTCATGGTCTTTTCCCTCTTCTCTGGCTAGAGATCCGCCAGAAGGGCTTACGGGAGGCTCCCGCCCGGCCACTGCACCTCTACGACACTCCCTACGAGCCCGTGCTTGGAGGGCTGGACATGGATGGTGACCGCCTGGCTTGCCCCAGGCCCAGGGAGTCCCGGCTGCCTGAGGATGACGAGCGGCCACCAGAGGAGTAGACCAGCCCTGCTTACGGGAGGCTCCCGCCCGGCCACTGCACCTCTACGACACTCCCTACGAGCCTGTGCTTGGAGGGCTGGACATGGATGGTGACCGCCTGGCTTGCCCCAGGCCCAGGGAGTCCCGGCTGCCTGAGGATGACGAGCGGCCGCCAGAGGAGTACGACCAGCCCTGGGAGTGGAAGAAGGAGCGGATCTCCAAAGCCTTTGCAGGTGAGTGATGGGAGCAGCCATAAAGGATGGATAGCAGCCATAAAGCAACCGATGCTGCATTGCGTTTTGCAGGGGGGAAGCTGGCTCCTTGGAGTTCCTTCATCTTTTGGGGGTCAGTAGTGTTGGCCTCCGCATTTCCGTGGCTCGGGGAGCACTCGTGCACTTGCAGAGGCTGTTTCTCTTCAGCAGGGAGCCAGGCTGGGTGGAGTGGTGGATGGAGCTGCCTTCGCAGCCTGTTCAGTGCCCGTCTCTCATTGCCTTTTCCCCCCTCTACTGATCACAGCCTCTGGTGCAAGTTGACCCCCCAACCCCAAATTGCAGTGGAGAGGCTCGACCCTGGGCTCAAGCAGATCCCTCTTTCCTCGGGGCAGGAGGAGAGCTGGGCGCTCCCCCAAAAGCCTCTGGCCAGGTGATCGTCCAGCCCCCTGACCTATTTATCTGTGCTGCGGGATCGATTGTGTTTGTGTTTGTTAATGAGGAAATCCATGCTGTGCATTAGCACCGGCTCCTCCGCCGGTGCTGGCTAATTGCCACATTCTTATCTAGGATGCATTTTAATTGCAGCAGTGTGTGTCTGCGCTGCAACCGGCATGCACAGGGTGCTCAAGCCGGTGGTTGTTGGTGCTGCGCGGGTATGCTGGCAGAGAGAGATGTGGAGATTTGGGCTCGGGAGTGATTCACCTTTTTGGTTTGGGCTCTGCAAGCTGGAGATGTGTGTGCTGGGCTCGACGCCACGGCATCTGCTCATGCCTGGGGTTGTGTTCGTACTGCTGGGACTTGGCCGGGTGTGGGGCCAGTGCCCGTGGCACACTGTGCTGAGGATCCAGCTTGTCGGGCTCCGTCATGAAATGCAGTGCGCTGCTGGGCTGGGTTTGTGCTGAGGTGTCTGTGCTCTGGATCTGGGCAGATGAGCTGCCTTGCTCCATGTCCCTGGGTGGAGGTGGCATGTTCACAGGTCTGGCTCACACGTGGATGCACATGGGTGCTTCCCAGGGCGCTTCAGGCTTGCTCCAAGTCCCGAGGGAGTCAAGTTGCCATGCCCTGGGCCTCGTTAGGACCTACTGCCTGTTTTCTTTCGGAGCCAGAGCAGGTCTTGCTGTGGCTCGCAGGGCATTTCTCCTCTGCTGCGATGCCAGGATCTCTTTGCTGGTCCTTTCCCCCTTTGGGGGGCCTGCGAGAACCCTGCTGATGGGCACCTGGTACCGGCACGAGGCAGCAACCTGCTGGCGCTGGCAGGGGAACATGGACCCCGTGGGGTGGCCAGGAAGCACCCGGGGCAAGACGGGTGCACGGGCAGGACAGATGGCAATGGGACGCTCGGCCAAGGTCACCCAGACAGACGTGCACGTGGGACAGGGGTGATCACAGGCTCCCCCCGACCCCAGAGAGGGTCAGCTGGGAAAGCTGATGGAGGAGCAGGGTGTCTCCATTAGGAATGTGCCCCATGTCAGGCCTGTTCCTGCTCAGTGCTGGGGAGGGGACAAGATGGTCAAGCTGGCGTAGGGCTCCCAGGAATTCAGTCCTCAGGTCTTTCCCCCCACAACTGCTCTCCTTCTCTGTGGGCCTGGTGTTGCTGATGGTTTTTTCTAAGCCCTTTCTTTCTCTCTTTCTCTTTCTCTCTCTTTCCCATCCCCACCCCCCCGCCATCCAGTTGAAATCAAGGTCATTAAAGACCTGCCATGGCCACCGCCAGTGGGACAGCTCGACAGCGGTGAAAGCCCCCCGGACGGTGAGTCCAGTGCCTCCGTCCCTCCGCAGCACAGCCAGCCCAGCTACGAAGACGCCAACGGTGGGTCTCGCGTGACAGCGGGGTGTCTGGGGGGCCTGCAGCCAGTGCTTGCTGCGACCCTGCCTTGCTGCCCCGCCGGCGCCGGGATGCTGCGACACCTCGGAGCTTGCCCGGACCTGGCAGGGCTCTGCCCGCTGCCTGCGGGCGCTGCCAGACATCCACCCTCCTCCTCCGCCTTCCCTCAGCTCCTCCTGGCTCATTCACTTGTCCTGAGCTGGACACCAGATGTTTGTCCTTGCCTCTTCTGCATCTTCTCCAGCTCCACGATGCCTCCTTGCATGCAGCAGTCGAGCTGCACCAGGGGGTTATTCAGTGGCAGAGTTATTACCTTCTCTTTTGTTCTCTCCTCTTTGCCTCCAAATTCCCAACATTTGATGGCTGCTTTTATGGTCTTCTCGACAAGTGCTCTGAGCATTTAGCTGATGTTTTCTTGTGACTCTTAATACCCAGGTCCCTTACGGGTGTGGTAGCAGCTAATTCAAATCCCGCCGCTGAGGTTGAGGTTGGTTTTTTCCCCATGCGCCTCGCTTTGTCATTTAGCACTGCTCCGTTTCCTCCGCTATTTAATCACCTTGCTGCTCAGTGGCAGGAGGTCCCTCTGGATTCTTCGCTCTCGTTTTTGCTATCCTGAACAGCTAAATCTCCCAGGCACAGTTTGTCATCTCAGGTTTGCCTTGTTGTGAAGCCCTTTTTGTGTGTGCTGAGTGGCAGAGCCCCCGCGTAAATTCCCCTTGGACTCCGCTGGCAGTCTCGCTTATGAAAGCCAAATATTGCTGCTTCTCTTTTAACCCATTATTAATATTTTAAGGACCTTGCTCTTACACTGTGGTGGATTAGGGTTTTGCCAAGAGCACTGGGGGGGCGGGTGTCGAAAGCCACCCAGGCTTTCGGGGTTGGGCTGGCCTCGTTCACATGCTGCCGTTCTTGCGGGGAACTGGGACGGATCTGCGAGACGTGACTTTTTCTCTGCAAACTGGCGGCTGCGCCCCGGTGTGCCATGTCTGCCCGTGCGTCACTAACACTGCTCCTGGTAGACACTGCGACGTGCCAGGTGCAGATGTCTGAATTCCTTATCTGCAGTTACCCAGATCCCTGCAGAGCTTTGTAAAAAAACCTGACAGTGTGGCTTTTGCTGCCTCCCAGGTGGGTTTGAGTGCGAGGTTGCACGTGACAGCTGATTTCGCTGCCGATCATAGGGGCACCCCGGAGCGATGTGGCTGCTCTGCCGGGGCCATGTCGGGATACTGTCCCAAACCCGTAGGGATGCTAAAGGCTGAGATCAGTCCTGAAAAAGAAAGGTCTTGGCAGGAGGAAACTTCCTGATCCTCTTTCTGCAATGAATGCAGGTGTCAAAAAAAATTGATTTCTTTGCTACGCAGCCTCCTCTCTTCCCCCATCGTTTATTATCCCTGCAGTCGCTCTGACATGCATCCTGCTCCTGATGAACACATCGGTTTGTCATTTTTCCTGGTTTTAGCAACACAGAGTCTCTTTTTTTTCCTAACTTGCTTTGTTGTGTTAAGTTTATCTTGCCAGAGTTTTGTCTCATTTTCTACTTCCCCTGTCTGGGGGTGACTTGAACTTCTTGAAGGGTGTCTTCTTACTCCTAGGGGCTTGTTTTTAATATCCTGTTTAATCATGCACATGCCTCTGCCTCTCTCTGACAGGTGCAATGCATTTCTTCTGAGCCTCTAACACGTGCCCTCAGCAAACACTTCCGTGTTTTGATTGTCTGGCTTTTTAACGATCGCCCCAATTTTTTAAGGTGATGAGTTGAAATTGAAGCCTGGATGTTATGTACAAGGGTGAGCCTGGCTGGTGAAAAGCCAGACCGCTGCAGAGGCAGGGCTTGTCAAACCTTAATGCCGGGCACCTCCTCCCTGAGCTCCTTCTCGGGGGGTTTTAAGCCATGCCAAGCTGCAGAGGATTTTAGCTGGGTTTCCTTTTGGCTGCCTTCCTCTCTTCGCGGTGCTGGGGGGCCTGGAGACCTGCTCGCCTGCGTAGGGCCCAGACAAGGTTCCCCTCAAATAGCCTTAGAGGATGCCCTGCTAGAGAGAAAAACATCCCTCTGGGTATTTTTTGCCTCTGCCCTGCAGCAGCGTGGCCTTGGCATCGCCCTGCTTTGCTGCTGGGGCTGGGGGGGGGCAGATGCTGGAGAATGCCCTTGCTGCCTGCAGAGATGGGGGTGCTCCAAAAGCCTTCACCCCTGCCCGGAGCCCCAGCAGCAGGCAGGGGGCTGAGCCAGGACCAGCCTCCCCCTCCAGCATATGGGGAGCACAGTGGGGGGGAAGCTGCCCAGACGGGGAAGTCCAGCTCGTCCTGGGGCGAGGGGAGCTGCGGCGCCCGGGCTTGGCCGCCTCCGGGGCGCCTGTGCCTCCACAGCATCAGCCACCGGCAGCCTCACGTCAAGGCAGCTGTGCCCGATCGATAAGTAATTTGTGCGAGGGGGCTTGCGTTGCAGGGGAGCAATAATGAACTCTCGGGAGGAGGGAGAAACAATATTGTTAATGCTGAAATCATCCCGCACGGAAATAACAGTCGGCAGGAGGCTGGGTCCCCGGGGCACGTCTCGGTTAATCCCCTGCCGCTCACCGGGCGGCACACACCAGGCCGCCGCGCTTTGTTGGTGTGTGGGGGCCTGTGGTTGGGCTGGTGCCGGGCAGGCGGCTGCATCGGGGAGGCACTTCGCAGTTGAAATGTTCCCTTCCCACCTCGGGGAATTATTTTTTTCACCCCAGGAGGTTTACTTGTGCTGGCAGAAATGCGTCCATCATTTCCAAACTGACTGCTCCCTTTAGCTCCGTTTCCCCCCTCCTCTTTTTTTTTAATTTTATTTAGTTATTTTTTTTTCAAGATTGGAGAGCCTCTCCTTACAGCTTCTCATTTAACTCTATGCTGCAACTGCTGAATCTCTGGTTGCATTAGCAAAACCTCTCTGTGTTTCTGAAACCTCCCTGGAAAATAGTTCTGGGGGCTTGGGTGCTGCGAGGACCCCGGTCCTGGTGTGGTGGGGACCCGACCTTGCCCATCCTGGAGCACCGCAGTAAGCAGCAGTCCAAGAGCTGCCCTGCCCTTGCTTAAAGCAGAGGGACGGGGCAGCGCGAGGGGACCCAGCATGGTGTGATGTGACATGGCTCTGGCTCTTTCTGTGAGCTCCCTCCGTGGGGGGAAAGCTGGGAGCCCAGCCTGTCCGCCTGTCCCCGCTGTCGGCTGCAACGCGTGTCTGTCTTGCAGGTCCATCAGAGGGGCTGGGGTACGGCCGCACCTCGCCCTGCAGGGAGGAGAAGGCCAGGGCTGCCCTCAGGCATGGCTCCAGCAGCCTCAAGAGCACGAAGATGCTGATCGCAGAGCCTGGCCCCTTTGTCGGGGAGAGGATTGACCCTGCCCTGCCCCTGGAAAGCCAGTGGTGAGTCCTGCCTTCCCCAAATGCTGCCCGACCCCTCCACCTGCTCTGGGATCCCTGTGGCCATGCCACGAGGAGCCCTGGGGCAGATCTGCTTCTTCCCTTCTTCTCTGGCCCTGTGTTTCTGCCTGCTTCTCCCTGCTGCCCTTCTCGCAGTTGGTGTCCCCATGTGCCCTCTGCATCCCCCTAAGCTGCCCAGCGGGAGCCCTGCCCCTTGTCCCCCAACCCCGGCAGTGCCACCCACGTCCCTCTCGAACGTGGCTGCTGTCCCCGGGGAGGTGCCAGGGGTGCTGGTGTTGCTGCTGCCCCGGGGCAGTCCTGCCCCGGGCGTCCGCTCTCTGCCTGGCACAGCCGGTCCCTCTCCCGCCTGCAGCTGGTACCACGGGGCCATCAGCCGGACGGACGCGGAGACGCTGCTGAGGCTGTGCAAGGAGGCCAGCTACTTGGTGCGCAACAGCGAGACCAGCAAGAACGACTTCTCCCTCTCCTTGAAGTGAGTGAGCCCGGACGGGGCTTGGGGGGGGTGGTAGACCCACAGCGGAGGTGACCCAGTATTGTGGGTGACCCCTTGTGGGTGGGTGCCCCACGCGAACGTGTGCCCATGCTGATGGGGTAACTCTGAGACGATCACGGGGTGGTCAGAAATGAAGATGAAGTCTGCACTTCTCTGCGGTGCGGCACAGGCTTCTGGTTTGGTGTCTGGCAAAAGTATCTCTCGGGAAGGCTTGTAGATCTGGAGGCACACTGCTCTTCCCTTGGCAGTGCTAGTAATCCCTCAGACGGATAAAATGATGTGCCTCGCTGCTCACTCGAATGTGTCTGGTTACAACTTCCAGCTCTGGCTTCTTGTTACCCCGGGGTTTTTTTTGTAGCTTAGTTTCATGGGAAAATGAAGTTTGTGTGATCCCGTTGTTGATGGAAACGTGGGTAGCCATCCCTGCCTCCCCAGCCCATGTAACCGTTGAAGCCCTTGCTCAGCGTGATGTAGAGAGGGCATTACGCTGCTTTGGTTTCCCAGCAGGGAAACCTCACCCCCACAGCACAGCTTGGTTCTGCTTGGGTTTTTGGGAGGGCTGTTTGCACCCTCCCTGAGTTTTCCAGATTCCCTTAGTGCCAAAACTGCATGAAGCATTGCCGCACGTGTCCTGCCAGGGAGAAGCTGCCCATAGCTCCTCATCCAGCTCTTTCGGGACTCTTGGGGCAGCCCAATCCTGCGAAATCAAAGCTGTTACTGTCCTGAAGATGATGACGGATTAGCAAATACCTTCTTGCCCTCCTGCTGGACAAGTATATTAGCTCTGTTCCTGGCAGATGTGAAAAAAAGTATTTATTGAGCACTTCAGTCATCTCTGCCCAACAACAGGCCATGTACCCCTACGCTTTTCTCAATATACTTTAAGTTTCCCCAGTGGTCTCTGTACCTGCATTGCTCCCTGGTGGTTTCAGCCTCCCCTGTTTGTTTCCCAGTGACACAACTGTGAATTAGAATGCTCCGTCTCTCTCTATGTTTTTTTACACTTTTTTGCTGCCTTCAGCACCAAACCACGGCAGAAGTTTAGCTGAAAATATTCTTTCTTCCTTCTGCACTCGTAGCCTTCAGATCAGACAACAAGTCTTTCTGGAAAAGCTCCCTCCTTTCCTTTTTTTTTGTCAGAATTTTTACTGATGTTTTAATTTTCTCAATATTTTTTCCTTGCCCTGGCTTGCGAGCAATTTTGAAGCAACAGCTTCTGCTGTTGCAGAAGGTCCTCTCAGCCATCGCCTTGTGGGTGGCATTAGCCAGCGAGTGTGTTGGAGAGCCTGGGAGGTGGCGTTGGGGTTGTGGATGGGGCTTCCTCCCTCACCAGCACGGGTGCCCCTTTCCATCACCTCTCTGCAAGCCAGTCACCCATTTCTTTGGGTTTTGTTCCGTACTTCTTGCCGCCCATCCTTAGCCTCGTGCCAAAAATGGCCAAATCCTCTTCTCAAATGGCATGTGTGGCCAGGACGTGGCCTTGCAGCAGCGTGCCACCTCCCCAGAGGAGCCTGCAGCCCATCCAGGAGCTGCTGGGGCATTGCCTGTCCACCGGCCATGCTTGCAGAGAGCCCACAGCCTCGGGAGCATGATTTTTACTCCATTGCCTTTCTCGTAGAGCCTTTTCAAGGAAAATCCCCTGGGATGCTTTTTATATAGCTGTAAGCTGGCTGTCTGCGTCTCTTTTTTTTTTTTTTTTGAACTCTTTCTTTTTTCCTTGAGGAAGGAGGCGCAGACGAGGAGATGGTCTGAAAGAGAGCTCCGGTGCTGACCTAAAGCCCTTTTGTGCTGCTTTAAATGAAAATATGCACAAGAGAGAGCAGCAGGAGCGGCTGTACCCATATTGTTTCAGGTAGCCAGAAGGATTTAACCCTGCCGTGACAGTCCTGGCTGGTCCAGGCTAGGCAGCCCCACGTTGCCTGTCATGGGCAGAGTTGTAGTGTTGTTGCCTCAAACACTTGGGGAATGAGTCCCTCCTGGCTCGCGCCTTCAGGAGAGTGGCTGAGGCCACACTGCAAAGGTTTGGGTCCTTCCTCACGTCTTTGCTCCTTGGCAGGAGCAGCACCTGCCCCTTGTCCTCGTCCCGTCCCTGCTGCTGGCTGCGAGGCTGTCAGATTTGCAGCATGCTCCCTCGGGCATCTCTCCGGTGGTCCGGTCTCAGTCACAATCCCGAGCTTGTGACAGAGACCCGGGGAGTGATTTGGGCAAAACACAACAAGCATCACCTCTCTGTGGACCTGTATGGCAGCGGTCCGGCTCTGGACTGGCACTGATCCTGCACTGGGGTCCTGCGCATCTCTCCCCTGCCAGCGCTAGGCAAGGGCTGGGTCTGTCTGCAGACAGGGTGCAGTGCCGAGGGCAGCACCCGTGGGCAGCTCTGCATGTTAGTGGCGTGACCGTGTGTGTGTGTGTGTGCAGGATAAACCTGTACACCTTCACAGGGTGCCATGTGTGCTGCAGCCCTCACAGCTCTTCCCCGCACCCCACTGCTGGGACACAAGGTGCAGCTGGCTATCGCTTTTCCTCGGCCCCTGGCAGGGGGCTGCGGCTCTCCCCCCTGTTCCCCCCCAGGGCGGCCGGCTCCCTGCCTCTCTGCGCTAAATGGATTGCAAACCCATTCTGCTAATGCAGCCAGGCTGTCCATTACGGGCACCGTCTCCAGCCGGGGGGATGGGACCGGCCTGCGCAGTGCTGGAAGTGGCTCAGCATTGCTGATGAGGTCCTGTCTGCTTTTAAGACATCAATATTTTGCCGTAATGTGCATTCCAGACGCTGCAGACAGGCTGTGGCTCTCCTCGGAGACACAAATTAATAGCAACAGGGCCATTAGCCCGTCACTTGGAATCAGCACTCGTGGCAGGATCTGCCTGCATGGCCTCGCGTGGCTCGGTGCCCGTGCTGTGCCGGGAAATGGCTTCGCTACGCTGAGTGGGTTTTATGGAGCCTGCAGTGTTGGCGTGGGGGCGGGCAACGGGCTGCGGGCCGAAGGAGAAAATCCTGCTTTGCCACAGCGAGGCTGGGAATACACGAGCCATGCTCCTCCTGTGCGAGCCAGGCAGTTGCAAAAGGGGCTTTGCCATGGGCGAGAGGCAAAAGCCGCTGCCCCTATGTCACCCTGCAGCGAGAGCCCCCGCTGCTCCTGCCTGGGCTGTGCCCTTGCTTCCCTGCCTGCACGCACCCACCCCAGCCTCGGGCACCGTCCTTGTCCCCGGACGGACCCCTCGCACCCCACTGCGTGGCCGTGCTCCCTGGTGTGGACACAGTGCAGCGTGGCCAGCCATGTCCCTCCCTTGCGCTGTGGGCTTCGTCTGGAGTTGGCCAAGAGCAGGATGGTGCGGGCAGGGCCGTGGCTGGGGACAGGAGCCAGCAGCGTCCCCCCCTAGCTGTAGGGGCAGGCTGCCTGTCTCGGGGCCGGGGGGGGGCAGGAGCTGATGGGAGGCCGGGGCCAGCTGCACCCCGTAACCCTGCCTCGATCTCTCCTTGCAGGAGCAGCCAGGGCTTCATGCACATGAAACTGTCCCGGACCCAAGAGAACAAGTACGTGCTGGGTCAGCACAGCCCACCCTTCGACAGCGTGCCAGAGATCATTCATCACTACGCCAGCCGCAAACTGCCCATCAAGGGGGCTGAGCACATGTCCTTGCTTTACCCGGTGGCTATCCGTACTCTATAGTCCTCACCCACCACGAGCCAGGCTCGAGGCCGGGTGCACCCGAAACTGGCCCGTCCGCAGGGCCGAGCGCCACCGTGCTGAGGATGGGCTCTGGACCAGCAGCCCGCGAGCAGCTCGCTGGGCACAGCCGGCGCTGTTGGGGATTGCTGCAGCCGGACCCCTCGTCATGCTCTCTCGGGGGGTTCCCGTGCGCCAGTTTGCCTGCTGGGATGGTGCCGGGGGGGACCCCCGCGCGAGGAGCTGAGTGGGGCTCGCCGGCTGCCCACTGCCCTCGCCTGCCTCCGGGCAGAGCTCGGGACGCAAGGACTGGAGCTGGGGCCTTGGAGAGGCCTGGGGGGGGACCATGTGCGGGAAAAGGGGGAGAAATCATCTGTTAACAGGCCTGAGGTGCCTCTGTGAGGGTGCCTGGCTCTGCCCATGGGAGACAAAATGGCTGTGACCACAGGCGAGGAGGCTGGCGGGGGGCGAGCGGGGGCCTGCCTGGGGTTACCGAGGCACAGGGGGCCAGGCCAGCAGTGGCCCCCACCCGCACGGGTGCTTGGTACTCGCTGCCATCCTTTGCCAAATGTAAATAGTGACCGGTCTCGGCCGTGCGTGCAGCACCACTGCCTAATAAAGCGGTGCATGGTCGCCTCCTGCTCCATGGGGACCGCGCGCCTGCATCCCACCACCTTGAGTGGGGGATCGGTGTGGCAAAATGGTGGGGAGGGGGATTTTATTACATAAAAGCTCTAAGTGAATTGATTTTTCCTTCGCTCTTGCATACACTGAGACCCGTGTGCCCGAGCGGTCCAGCCAGCTCACTTGTCTGAGACACGGGACAAGGGACACTGGTGGTCATGTCCTCGCTATGTCTTTGGGACCTGTCACGGGCAGTGATGAGCTGATTTTGGACTTGCCTGTTATTCCCTTAGAAGGGGGTGCTCTTTGGGATCTTTTGCCTCGTTATTTTCCTTCACCCCTTGTCTCAGGCAAAATCCCTGAACTTCACAGATCTCCTGTTCTCCTCCTCTGGGTATTTAGTGGCTCCAGTCCTGTTCTTCATCTTCCTGACACCTTGTCTTTGGGCCAGCTTGCTCCTTCTCTTCATTTGGCTGAAGCTATATCTGGTGCTCTGTAGCATTTAATGCATACCTTGCCTTTTAACCTTGTTCCTGGTGTTGCTTGCTGGTGTACCCACGCACATACTTTTCCTCCATCCATGCTTCAGACTAAGCTCAGTCTCGCTGTTATGCCCCTGCAGCGCGTTCCCTTTCCCCTCCGCTCCCGGGGCAGTCCCACTGTGCTCAGCAGAGGGGATGGCAGCAGTAAATTTGCTGCTGGACCAGCAAAACCTTTTGCATCAGTGGAGCAGAGTGCGTGGGGTGCTGGTGGGATGTGTTAGCGGTGGCTTGATGAAGGCTTTGTGAAAAAGCATCATCCTCCCCACCGCCTGCTCCCAGGAAGGAGCTGGTCCTGCAGGCTTGCTGGGGATGGTGGTGGAGGTGATCGATGGGACTGCGGGGACCTTGCGTGGGTGAGTGCTGCAGCCACGGCAGGAACCCTGCTCTACCATCTGGGGCTCTGGGGTTTTCCAGACTCGAGCTGTAGCTGGGGGATCGCTGTCCCGGCTGCCTATCACGGCTTTGAGCTGCTGTGGGGACCATCGGGCACAGCCAAGCGTGGTCCCCGAGTGCATGCCGCGGTTGGGAGCCTGCAGAAACTGTGTTGTTTTGTTCCGGGATGCCTCAGCCTCTGCCGCTCCTTAAAAGGCAGCAGTTTGAGCTCATCGGGCGCCCGGTGTCTCCTTACAGCCCTGCTTGGCTGCTGGCAGCTCCCCGGCTGCCTCTCTCCATCCCAGGGAGGCATCTCATCCAGTGGGGATGGAGGTGAACTCCAGCTGGAGGGTTTTTCTCCCAGCAGTGCCACACCAGAGCCTGCAGAAAGGGCTGGAGATGCAGAAATCTGCGGAGATGCTCTTGGGATGCCCTTGCTGCATTTAAAAGGTTTCAAGGGCTCTTAGCAGCCCTGCTGTGCCCTGACGGCTCCAGCGCAGAGCTCGTCCCGGGGGACACTGCCTTCTCCGTGGCTGCAGCTGGCAAAGCAGAGGCTTCTCGGGTCCGTGCAGCTGGGGAACGAAGGCACAGGAGAGCCTCCCCACGTATTGTGTTGTGTTTTTTTTCTTGAGAAACTGTGGCAGGGAGCAAACTGCCTGGCAGCCAGTGCTGGCTGTACCAGTGAGCTCGCAGCCTCATGGCGAGATCCTGCCCAAGCAGCCTGGCTCCATCTCAGGGGCATCCCTGCTGAGCGCTAAGGGGTGTGAGACCTGTGTGCATCGCACCAGCTCCCCAGGAACAGTCACAGACCAGCAGGATTCTCTGGAACTGGGCTTTGTGTCCAAGTCCTTCAGCTAAGCAGCTCTCAATCCTCCCTGTGGCAATTACATCCCTCCTCAGCCCTCTCTTCTCCAGGCTAAAGAAGCCAAACTCCTCAAGCATCTCCTTGTACATGTTCTCTGGCTCTGACCATCCTAGTGACCCTCTGCAGGACTCTCTCCTTGTGCTTGGGGTCCAAAACTGGACACTGTATTCAGATGTGGCCTCACCAATGCCAAATAAAAGGAAATAACCACTTCCTTTGACCTGCTTGCTACACTCATATGATAACTTGGGTTGGAAGGGACCTCAGGAGGTCTCTAGTCCACCCTCCTGCTCCAAGCAGTGTTAGCATTGGCCACAGTCAAGATGGGCTTTTTTTGGAGAGAAGCAGAACTGCCCTAAGCCCAGCTAGGTTTTTTTCCCCTCTTCATAGCATTACCAGGAGGGATGGGACACCAGGGATGAAGAGGGCTGCAAATTCACTGCAACCTGAGGGCAACGCCTCCAGCCCAGTGGAGCCTCCAGCTCCGTGTGGGCCGTCACGTGGTGGAGGAGGTCCAACAAGAAAGATGTAGGAGCAGGGTGCAGGACGCAGAGCCATAGCGAAGAGCCAGCCCACAGCTTGACATTGGGTCAGGGGATGGATGTGATCTCAAATGGGGTGGATCCAAGCAGGTCCTGGGTCCTGTTTGGACCTGGGGAGGTCTCATTTTGGGATTCCCACAGAAAGTATGTGACTCTGGGTCTGGCTGGTGCGTTGCATCCTGTGTTTGTGATGGGAGCTGATCAGGAGCTCCCAGAAAATTTGGATTGAATCTCTCTTGCAAGGGTACTTTAGTGCTACCTTTTGCTGTCCTGTGACTGAAATGAGTTGTTTGGAAATAAGGGGGGGGCGGGGGGGCAGCCATGTGACAGGTCTAGAGAGTCAACAGGGGATCCCCATTCATGATGATGCTAATCCCCAGGATGGACAAGGGCCTGAGCAACCTGATGTGGCTTTGAGGTTAACCCTGTTGGGAGCACGAAGGTTGACCAGAGACCTTTGTAGCAATTCCCAATCCACTTGTCCTGGCAATCCCCTGTGTCCTCCCGGCTGCCTCTGTTCTCTGTCCCTCCTCCCTGCAAGTGAAACAGCTCTGTCATTCATCGCCTGATCTCTAGTCCCTTGCTAAGCCCTCCATAATCGCCAAGCTGTTTTAGCATTCTGCAGGCCCTGATAATGAAGGAAGGAAGTTTGTTTTGTAATTGGATTAGCACTGCTGGGAACATGCTCTTGCACGGCGCTCATCGCTGAGCTGGAGTGGCCCCCAAGCCCTGTGCCGCTCCGCCTGGTTGTGGGCCAGCTTGGGGCTGCGCTTAGTCTTACTCCTGCAGAGGACTTCACTGGCCAAAAGTTGTAGTCTTGAAGGAGGAAGGCAACCAAGAGGGGTGAAAGGCTGATTCAGGGCAAAATTTGAGCTTGCCCTCCTCGGAAGCTGGGGTGTGTTTGCTGAATCTCTGTCAGTCTCCCACCTGCTGGAAATGAAGAACTTGGGTTAGCCTCAAGCCCAACATCAGCCTCATCACCCGCCCCAGCGCAAGCCATCAGGGCTCCTGAACACCTCATAGGCTGGAGAGCATCACCAGTAACTGATCCTTGCAGGACTGGGTAAAACCCTCAGATGTGTGTAGGGTGTGGTCGATCATCCATGCCCCCTCCCTGCCCCTCTGGCCTGGAGCAGTTCCCTTAAGCCGAAGCCTAGTGACTAGTTTAAAACACCAGCCCTAGCAGTGACGCCTAAGTTGCTTGAATATCACTGAAAACAGAGTGCCCTGTATTCTGTCTCCAACCACAGAAATTTGCAGAAGGATCAAATAACCCAACAACTCAGCTGCCAAAGTTTATAGCGAAGGAGAGAAGTTTGTTCCTGATCCCTGCAGGCTACCAGCAAAACGTGCAGTGTAGCGCATACGTAGCGCACACGTGCATGTGGCACACGGCCCAGCTGAATGCCTTCTTTAAATTTATTGTAAAGACCAACGTATTTGATGCAAGGGGCAAGTTTCAGCTCCTAACTCGGAGACCGCCCTTGCTCAGTCCCTTCGGTACGCTTCCTCAGCGTCGTCTCAAACCAGTTACTTGCTCCTGGTACCCTGTCTGAAAATTGTCCCAAAACATCCATGTTTGGATGCCTCCACCTAATTTTCAGTCAACACTTGTGAGCAGTTCTGTCCTTTTCCTTGCACAATTTTGGAGGCATGTCTGCAAAACAGCATGCTTGGGCAGATCTTCCGGGTGAGATCTTCCCAGTGCCTTGCTAGTGATGTGGCTGTGTCCCTCCCAAAAATGCATCCCAGGCGTGATGACTCCACACTCCCAGCCCTGCACTGCTTGCTATTAATATTAGTGGGGTCATCCCAAGACTGGGGTGGAGGAACAGTGCTAGAAGCATCTCTTCGCTCAGAGACACCCCTTTTAATACAACCCATCACTTGATTAGCTGGTTCCTCCTCTGCTATATCCATACACGACTTCCAGCATCGGAAACTGGTTCATACTGGCTGTGAAATGAAACTCCTTCCTTAAATCTAACCAGCCTAAATGCGCTGCATCACCTTGTCTAAGTTAATTATCAAAGAAAAATCATTACGTTGCACTGAGACAATGTATCTGTGATAAATTCTGTTTCCATTTGCCTTCCTCTCTTGAATCTGGGTTTCCTTCAAAAAGACCTCAGAAGGGTATGAAAGTCTATATACGTTTTAATCCCTCTTTTCCCTTTTCTGGATGTGGGAGGCACATTTGCTGCATTTCTTTGCT